TGCATCCAAGTAAAGCTGCTAAATTTCAATCTACAAAATGACAACACTTGTATTTTGTCCTCTGCAAAAAAAAAATCCCTGAGAAAACTCTTCAGTGCAGTGAATACTAACAAGAAATTGCCTAGGGCAGAAATTGCTTTCATGTACATACCCCCTTCTTTTCTGTTAAAATTACAACTAGACACAGCACTTTGTGTCCTTCCTCCTTTTGGTTATCAGACCAGAGACATTTTCAGAACACCAAACATCTTCAGGTTTTCAATTAATATTTCCAAATCTTCTTTTCAGGGATGCAAAATTATGCTGAAACAGCTGGAAGTACCAGAAGAATCCAGCTGGCTTCACAAGAAATGAAACTGTGGTTTTCACCACATACAGTATCAGCTAAAAAATATCCTTTGTTTAACCACAAGGAAAACATTGTGGTCTCAGGCAGGTCAGGTTGAGAAGGATGCACTTTTCCACCAGGATACAGAAGACAAAATTCATCCCAGTGTGTCACTGTCACCACCCACAAAACCCCCTCAGCTGAGTCCTTCTCTACCCAGAGCAAACATTCCTTTCCAAATGCAGCAGTGTTTGAAATGGTGATATCACATCCTTTTAAGCAGGAAGTCCAAATCCTGCACTGTCCTTTGAGCCTTTTAATGGGTAAGGAAGTTTCTAACAGAGGAAAGAGCAGCCTTAGTGGCTCCCCATCTTTTACTTCAGTTTGCTTGCAAAGGTTTTTGTCTTCTTCACCTCAGAACACACACAGAGCACATTTACTGCGAGTTCCAACATTGGAACTGGTTAATCTTTTAGCTGAGGTAGATAAGACAAAGTAAAGAGAGTAAAGTAAATGAGGCAGAGGGGTAGTGGGAAGAGGAATGGTGCTTCTGATCCCACAGGCAGAGCTGTACCAATTTATCTCTGGACATTTTGTCTCACATCTCATCCAATAGGCCAGGGAACACTGGGCCAGGGCACAACTGCAGTAGACAGAGACTAGAATTGAAGAACCATCATTTTCTGTTCACCCTTTCCCATCAATGCATAGCTTCTTCGTGGAAAAATCCACTTAGGAACATCTAAAATTGTTCCCTGCTCCTTTTTAAGGGATTGTGCAGCTGAAACTTCTCTGAAGAAGAAAGTCAGGGATGAACAGCTCCCCAGAGCATACTGTGACGTGAAATATTTTCCCCCTCTCCTTTGCCTGTGCAAAAGGCAGTAATTATTTGGGATTGACATATGGCACATTAACTTATTCCTGCAACTTTCACACAGTCAAGCACTAGCAAAGCTTGGAGGTTGACACTTGAATGCTTTGCTTGGTGCAGCAAGTCCTACGACACAATAAAGTTCCTCATATTCCTCGTGGCAGAGCTACTTGTGAGACAGAAATAATTTCTCTCCTTTTTCACTTGGCTTTTGAGTCCAACCCTGTCACTGATCAGCTCACCAAACTCCAAGTGACTCCAACGTGAGTTCCCATCCAGCTTCCTGGAAAAGTGGGATTTATTAACACTCTGCTGGAGCTCCCAGGCTCCTGCTCTGCTGCCTTATTGATCAGATTCTGTGGAATGGCATGCCTACCCATGGAGATTTTGGGTAGAATCAACTAAGGGCCACCAGGCTGACTGATATTTGTAACAAATTTTATGTTGCCAGTTATTTTCCTGGTGCTGCGTGTGGGGAAACAAAGGTGCTAACAACGTAGGAGGGAAACAGTCTCTAAAAAGGGAATATCAAATGAACTTACAAATTTAAGTGGCATTCACTCTAGGCAAGAAAAGATTTTATCTGTATCTTATCAACAGTGCTTTTCAAGGTATGAATTCCTACACCAGATATTCCTGAATTTGGCTTTTTAGGTTTTTTTTTTTTGTTTATTTGTTTGTTTACTTGTTTGGGTTTGGTTTTTTTTTTTCTCTCTCTGAGTTTTAATATTTCCAACTAATCTAGCCCTAATTTTTTTTAATTTTTTCTTTTAAAAAATCCTACCTTACCCATGTCCAGGGTGTACCTAAGTCTTCTGATATTTAAAAACCATGTTTGCTTTCCCATTCAATACTCCCAGGCTCAAGACTTTGGGTGGACTTTAATCAACTGCACATTGCCCTTTGCTTGATCTCAGCAATCAGCTCAGAAAATTTCTCATTATGGCTTCTGTAAGAAGAAATAATAGCCTGTCTTCTTGCAAGCAAACACAATTTGAATGAACAAAATTAATGTCTGCTTCTCTTATTTATTTCCTCTTACTGAAGCGATAGGTTATATATGAGGTGTAATTACAATAATGTCAAAGTCGCTGCAGAAAGAGTTAATCTGCAAGGAAAAATTCCCACCAGGAAAAATAAAATAATCTTTGGTATGCAGATGAACTGTTTACTTGGTAGCTCTTGTGTGATCAAAATGAAACTAAGCTGAACTGCTGAAACAATAAAAGTAAATTATTGCTGGGGCTTTGCAAACCTCAATTAAATAAATATTATGCAGTAAACAACATATTGGATTTAAGTTAGGATAAAACAACTGAAAAAGAAGTTACCAACCTGTTGTGTTATCTCACAGTAACCTTCAAATATTTCTTTCAGGAGACTTTTTCATTGTAAAGAGATTTAGCTTAAAAAAACCTATAAAAAAACCCACTTGCACTTTGTTTTTATAAGCATCAAAAGTAATCTCATTATACATTTTCTCTCCTAAAAAAGTTTCTTTAAAACTTTAGATTAGATAAATATGGGTATTGATGGTGGTTTTCTGGTCCCAGCTTTTCAATTACTTTTAAGAAAGCAAAGCATTTTGAAAATAACGTGATCAATTTGTTGCACTTACTCTAACAAAACGAAATCACCATCTAATTATCCAGTCAAACAAAAAACGAGTGCTAACTGGGGGGTAACTAATTTTAAATGGCAGGTACCAGAATGGAAATCATGCCTCATTTTGCATTTTTTTCCTGGTAGATATAATGCAGTGCAATACAGTGTTTTCATTATTCATTTGCCTTTTTTTTTTGTACTGCTGTGCACTCTGTAACAGAGATGAATTCCTTGCTGAGCTACCAGATCCCGGGATGCCTTTGGCAGTGGTAAAGCAGATTTCTACAGAAACTGGAGCACAATCCACACTTTGACTCCCCACCAGTCTGTCCCTGTCTGAAACTGGGTTCCCACAGCAAACCATATTTTTTTCATCCCAGAGTGCAGCATGGAGCACGTTTTAATATGGCTTAAAGGGGAATAAAATATCCTATTACTTCTTCTAAAACAAACTTCACCCCTGCCTCCAGCAGCCTGGGGAACATCACCTTCACAAACAAATATAGTTATGTATGCAGACTGTTTAAGTGTCAATTACTGTCAATTAAGCCGTCTTCAAAATGTTAAAATTGCAGCCTTCTTATAAACATTGTTCCATTAATCAGCAGTGAAACAGCCCATTCTCAATTGAGGCAAAATTATTAGTCTAAAATTAAAAAGTTGAGCTTGTAAAGAAATAGCAATGACATTTGTAGGGCTGACATGTCTGCACAACACAGTGAGCTATTAATTTGCTAATTACACATGTAACACCATTTCAGTGCATACTCTAAGCAATAGTCTAAATTGAACCTGAAGATTAAAAATCTCACCCTAAAGGCTTGGATTTCTCCCTTTGTTTTACACTACAATCTCTGGAGTAAATTAACAGGCTGCTTTTTTTTGTGACTCTCTCAGGAGGGAAAGTGAGAAGCTCAGGGGTCAGACTGCAATGCCTGGGGGGAGCAGTCCCCTCTGTTCCTGCAGAATTGGTACATTTGATTAACCTTCCTGCTCTTGAGAGTTCCAGCAGTGTCCAGAACCACAGCTGGGCTTTGCCACCTCTCTCTCCTTTCCCCCTCCCCAGCTGTTGGCACATCTGCATTCACACCTGGAGTGCGGCAGTGGCTCAGGGGCTCTCAGACTTCCCCCCTTGGGGAGCTTGGGAAGAGATCACACTGGAGGTGTCAATACCTTCTGCTGCTGCTTTTTTAGGTGATGATTCCCTTAATCAGCTCTTAATTTCACTTTATTAAAGTGACAATGTCTTACAAAATGTCATTACCCCCAACCTTTGCTGCCAGGTAATTTTCACCCACTCAGCATCCTGATAGGGAGTGTTCATATAGAAAAAACTTTTTTTTTTTTCCTACAAGAAAATGACAGAATGACCTGTACACAGCAGGCCAAAGAATCAGTCAGATTACCAGTGCCATCTCCAGCTGTTCCTCAGCCAAAACTCAGAGACCATCTGTGCCAAGCTGAGTAAAGTCTCACCTGGTAACAACCCTCCTGGCTCTCCTTTCGCTGCCAACATCTTATTTGCTCCCCTTACCCTCCCAGTCTCCTTGCTAGTTTTTTGCTCCTGCTTAGAGAAAGATAATTTCCTTAAGCAGGGCTCTTGACCCTGTTTTAGAGATCTCACCAGAGACTTTGGCCATTCACAAGACTTCAGCAGTTTTATTCTGAGTTACTCAAACGACAACAGTTGAAGGTCAAAATGAAAATTTTCCACCACCCTCACACACATATGGCCTTCACTTCCATATGACCAACAGCTTCCAGGTTCACAGAAGGAAGACTGACAGTTCTGTGATGTGGAACACAGAGAAATCCAACCTAATTAATTTAAAAGAAAATACATCCTTTAATGCTTCTGTTGGTTGATTTTTCTACCGGCAGAACACAAAGCTCAGATCTTAGTCAAATTCACAATTGACATTGGGCCTGTTCCTTTCTCTCTTTGTCCCCACCTTCTCAATATCCAAACAAGGATAAAGTGTGTAAAAAAATAACTGAGAAAATTATCAAGAGAAATCAGGGAACTTCAAGTTACCTGGCAGTATGGTACATAGCACTCTCTGGAAATCAGCTCTTCCTAAGTTCCTGTTATACCTCTGTCATAATTTCCCTGATGACAATAATCATTAGAAGAAGAAAACCATGCTTAGAGAATTTAGAGTCCTTCAAGTATTCAATTTTTTTTTTATTTTTTAATTTCTGTCTCTCCTTTGAGGAATGCTGTTTCCTGTGTAAATTATTTTCTCCCCCAGCAGCCACCTCCCACAGCTCAGGGAGCCCCAGCCCAGCACTCAGAAAGCCACAGCCTCCTCCAAGCTCCTGAGAACTGGCACTCAGTGTCCCTGTGAGGCTGAAATCAATCACTCATCTACAAATGAGGGCTTTAAACACCTTATCTGGCCAATCTCCTCAGCTACATTCCTTAAGGGAAAGAAGATCCAAGTGTATATAGATGTGTATATGTTTGAGTGTATTCTCTGCTTACAGAATGTCCACCTGCAGAACTTTCCCAAGTTTTCATACTCATGCCCAGCCTTATCCCCTATATTTTCTCTCTGTAGATACATGTCTGGGTTCCATTAGAGAAAAGGATGAGTCTGACCAAAACCTCCTCTATCCAAGCTAAATTCAGCTGGTCTAGGACACCTCCACTGCTGTAAATTCTGCTCTAAGAGAATTCTTTTATTATGTACCAGAAAACTGGGATGTGACTAAGCTGGCTGATTTTTTTTACCCCCAGATTCCTTGTTGTAGCCAAGCACAAGCTCAACCAAAACCTTCCTGTTGAGAGTCCCAGAATGCTGAGATTAACAGACTCTGCAGAGCAGAATGCACAAACCTTGTTTATGAAGACAAAGAAGAAAGTAGATGGGTTTCACATCAAATACATCTAAACAGCATGGTAGGGAAAAAAAAAAGGTGTTTACAAACACTAACCGATGAAAAATTGTTGTTTAAGAAAACACAGTGAGCTCTCATGTGGATCAGGAAGGTTGGGTGACTATAGGTATGGAGAAGCAGGAAAGAAAAGTGTGATTTTGGTAGAGGGTAGTACATATTTTTAGGAAAACACTAGAAGGTCACAGAACTGCACTTAAAAGTTGAATTTTCTCTTCAGTCTCTCAGTAGGTGTTGCTGTGACATCTCATTGCTATTAAATGAACAAAGAAGTCCTGAATATATGGTTAAATCACACGCCACAGCAAGCATTAATTAATTGATATTTGAATAATATGGAGAGCTTAAGAGTTGTACAACTGGGACATGGGAAGCATTCACTCAAATGTGACATCTCTGGTATCCCCAGTTCTCCCTGCAGCTCCCTGGTATGGCAGGAGCTGTGATTTTGGTGAGACACAACGCCTGGTGTCCTCGTTCCTGTGGCTGGGGGGTTACGGTGGGGATGGTGGTGGCTTTGTTTTCCATGCCACTGCTAGAGGCACTCATGCTCTTTGTGCACAATGAGAGGACATAGGTGATCTTTTACTTGTGAAAGTCTCAAAGCATGTGTATTTTTATTCAATTTTTCTGAAAGGTCAATATACTACAGATCACTTATCAGTGATCCTTCCTTGCCTAGCCATCATTTGTACACTGTAGCATCAGTTTTCCTGGTTCAACAGTCAGCTCCTAATAAAAGAGGATGACATGTATTAGAAGCAAAGAAAAATAGCTGTAATAATAGCACTCCAATCCTACTTACTTGTCTCTTAACCTCTTTCTTTCAAAGGCTCCCCGGCTGCAGTGCTCAGAAGAAAGTTGCCATTGAATTATCCACCGGAAATCCATTGGCATCTATTGCTGCTCTGATACAGAGCAACAATAACTGATAGCACTTCTCACATCCCTGCCCCTCCTCTGCCTCAAACTATGGCTCTAGAAATAAAACCCTGTGCAGACACCGAATGTTTTTTAAGTTAAGCTCACAGCTGCAGAGAGAAATCAGCTCCATCTGACAGCTCAGCCCCCCAGGACCCCGGTGCTCACCCACTGCCCCCCTACTCCTCCCAGCATTGTTATGGAGAAGCACTTCTACAACAATTCTCACTGATCATGAAAGACAAATAAACCAAATCCCAGAAGCAAAAGCATCAATACAGTTTTCTCCAGCAGCCTACCGCTATTTATACAGGTGACTGTGAACATTCACACATCAAAAACAGTGGAATTTTGGCATCTCTTCCAGGAGCAGTCATCTCCCTAATGGATAGCACGGTAAATACACTGTCCCTGATGAGGAGAAGATGTTTGAATCATTACAGCAGCAGTCTGTAATGAAAAGAATGCAGATCCAGTTCCCTGTCAGATTTCCTGATAGGAGATTTTTTTAGAAATCTCACAGGTACCTTTGGATTTCAGTACAAGGATCTAGGTAGCTTTTAATGCCACAATTAAAATTTCTGTGCTTTTCCTAACTTCACAGAGGAATTGCCAAGATTGATACATTAAAAAACAAGGGATTCATCAGGGAGCTGGCAGCACACAGCTTTGGGATCTAAAGTGGATGGAAATTTGAACTGGGTGAACAAACCCTGCAGCCTAAAACTGTACTGGTTCCACCAATGATTGGTTCCAGGGGGCAGAGGAACAGCCACAATCTGCTCCCTTTTTATGGCACAGTAGCCACACAACTGCTGAGTTACACCTCTGTCCCCCAAATGCCCTCTGAGAGGGGCCCAGAAAACTTCCTAGCAGATGATGATTTGGTCTGTCTGCATGGCAAAATCCCAGAGTGGTTGGGGGTGGAACAGACCTTAAACACCATCCAGTTCCATCCCCTGCCATGAGCAGTGACACTTCCACTGTCCCAGTTTACTCCAGGCCTGTGCTGCCTGGCCTTGGACACTGCCAGGGATATGACATCTTGTTTTTAGTGGCACAAATGCATTCATCCAATGTTTTTCGTGGACTGGCAAGATAATTTTACAATTTTTTTTTTTTTTTTTTTTTAAGCACCTCTTGTGCTGATCTTGCAGGCCAGGCATTCACACTGCAATCTCTGCTATCTCATTTTTAAGATTAAGCAGTTAAATAGTGTTGGCCTGGATCTTCTTAATCACACTAATACCACTTTTACAGTGATCTGGGCTGAAAGGTTTAGTATGAAGGACAATCACCCTCCTTTATTAACAACCAATGCTGAGCCAGTGCATTTAACAGGAAAGTCACTGTGGGCTTCAGAAAGAATAAGATCAGAGTTAGACTCCTGTTGACATGGAAATACTCTGAAAAGTCTCTTAAGAAGTGTCCCAGGCACTGAAGTTCTCTGTTCCTTATGCCCTAATGAAGTTGCTGCCACAAGTCTGAATTTGGAGCTTTTCTTCCTGTTGAATGTTGGTGTAAAGAATAAATAAGATCGATTAGAGTAATTTTGGCACTAAAAAAAGGCAGTGTACTCCGTGTCCTTGCCAGGGCTCCCCTGTGTATCTGACAGGAATAGCTGCAAGGACTGGAGAAGCAGTAACTTTTGGAAAGGACTATATCTCCTGCAGAAGCACCACATTAAGTAGACCATTTCCAATGAATCCCAAATGCTCATGTTCATTAGCTTTTTGTGAAAGCAGAATACCATGTTAAATGGGCATTGAACAGCATGACTTGTACTGGTGCCCTGAACGGAGAAAGAAGTCAAATGACATCCCCAAGTTAATCATTTAAAGGGGAAAAAAAATATCCCCAGATTAAACATTTAAAGGGGAAAAAAAAATTATCTGAGCAGAAGAAACATTGCTCTGTAGAACTGCAGTCAAACAGAACTGGGAAGAATACAATTTCTTTACACCAGAGCATGAAGTACATGTATCTAAAAATCAGCTAATATCTACTTACTAGACCTTTAAACCAGAAGAAAATGTATTTTGCTATTTAGATAAGCAGCACAATATGAGTTTGGGGACTCTGTTCAGCATGGAATGAGATATTAAACATCAATTGAGTCAGTTATATTATTAGATCAAAATCCCAGCATTTATAGATTATAACTTTTCTTTTGCTTCTTTTTTATTTTTTTTAACCTGAGAGGCAGTGCCTTCAATAAACAGTTTTCTCCATGGGTAAGGGACTATGGGAGCTCTGAGATTTGCTCAGACATGGCATGTGCTGGCAGTTCCCACTTCCTGAGATGGATGTGGCAGGATGAGGCCTCCCCTATTGCCCTCCATGAATTCTCCAGTTTGCAGCTAAAGAAACTCTCACCATGTGTCCCTGAAGGACCTGCAGCTTGTACACCTGCTGGGAAACTTTGTTCCGTGGCAAGTGTCAGGTATTTCTGCTTTTTACACAGACAAATCAATGTGTCAGACATCAAGGATTTCACAAACACCACTGTGAATGAGTAAAGAGATTGAGTTCACTAAATGGGATATGACAAATGCCATCGTTGACTGGAACAATTACTGGTTTTCCACATATCTTTATAAAAGGTGACATCTATCTCATAGCTAGAAGAAATATTGTTTGCCATGTAGGTGAGCCAGATCAAAGTAGAGAGTGGATTTAAACTGGAATATTCCCTTGTTTTTCCTACTGTATAAATTTTGCACATGATGTGCATCAGGATGCTCCTGCCTACTGTGTGCTTGTTGCCAGTTCTTTTGGTTCATTTATATGAAAGTAAAAAATGAACAAAAGTATTATCTAACTCACTGGGGAGTTATGAACTGTCACTGCTATTGATAACAACAGGAAATGAGATCTGTGCCATTTCCCCTTGCTCAGCATCAACATGGTAAAATCATAAAATAACTGAAAATCCTCTGTTTGGCTGTGCTTGCAATGCAAGGTGAGGGAGCAGCTTCAGCACTGTGACATCCCTGTGGCTCCAGTCACTCCAGCTGATTCATAATGGAGCAGTCAGTCACACCCCTGAGGCAACTCCTACCCCTTCCTCATTTTCAGCTCACCAAAGGACTTTGTCTAAAGCAGTCCAGCAACACATTTTTGCATGTCCTGACTCCAAAAAAACACCTCAGTGTCTGCTGAGCTGGTGTCCAGATCAGAGTATCACTACACAGTAAAGAAGATGTAAGTCATCTGCTTAATCAAATCCAGGCAGCCAGGATGCTGCACTGGATGGACCACGGCCAAAGACAAATGCTTCAGACAAAGGCAGACTTTGCAAAAGCAGATTAAGATCTGATTGCAGATAAGAAGTCATGCTTTAAGTGTGGCAAATTTACCTACAATTTTTTTTATTGTTAGCTCTTTTGAAGGGGTTATAAATCTTTCCTAGCAGAAGTCCAGCAGTGGGATTCTCTGTGGAGGGGAGTGCTGTCTACCAGCATGGCCCATTGGCATCTCCCATCTGGACACCTCAAGGTGCAGGATAGACCCTGCCCTCCCAGCAGCCATCAGCACCATAGATCTGGAGCAGTTCCTGCACATTCCTGCTATGATTCTCCAGGAATCTGCTGAAAACATCCTCTCAACCCCTGGACAGCACTGCAGACACATCATGAATTCCAGAGGGCACACACCAGGGACAGAGCAAGGAAAAACACCAGCAAAGGACAGTGAGAAAGAGAGGTGTGGTTTTGAGAACAGAAGGAAGCCAGCGCAGACGAAGGAGAAAATCCCTTTTGAATCATCAGGTGACACAACTGCCAACGTGAATAGCAAAAATCAGTGGCTGCTGCCCAGGACCAAACACTCCACACACACAGGATATTGGCCAAAGTCCTCAAAACAACCCTTAAAAGCAGCCATTCCAGTGCCTCGATGCCCTCTTGTTCTCCAGAAGTAACTCTGTTAACTTGCCCTGGACTACTGAAAATACCTGACAACAAGCAATACAAGCTCAAGACAAAATCTTATATTGGGTCCCTTTAGGTTATCCATGTTCTTGCAGCAAATTCTCTTGCCTCTAAAAAAAATCAAAGAAAAGCTTCTGCCCTTGGTTCTGAGGGGCTGATCATCTAAGCAAGATTTATGTCAGGTCATGGAGTCAGAGTGACGGAATTATCCAGTTCTGGAAAGAAATGCTATTGGACAATCTGTGGCAACCCAGGGCAAAAATCTAAAGATGAAAAGGTGCACAAACCTTCCCTAAAATGTTAGTCCTTTCCCTCATCATTTCCCCTTTCCTTATGATCCTCCATCAAGCTGAAAGCCCGCAATGGGAACAGGATGCTTTGCTTGCAGGCAGAGCTACAACTGTTCCTATCAAGTTTATGTCTTGATCAGAGGAAAAAAATTACATTTCATCCCAAATCCTGCCAGAGGACTACAGCCTTCAGCTTCCATTTGAGAAGGTTCCTTGTGGATCTCTCCAACTGTTCCAATGCCCATAGGCTGGATGTCTCCACAAGGATGATACAGGAATGGCAACAAGTGTGGGTGTGTGAGGATGCTGCCATTCTGCTCCAGAGGCAGAATGACATTCAGCTGAAAGGGAAGCACTTTGCTACAAGTAACATTAAAAAAAAACCCCAAGCTTGGAAAGCTGTGCTGCCAGACAGCTCTAGGAACACAGCTTTTACCCTTGTGTAAGTACAGATGAAGAGAGGAATCAAGAAACACGGATGAAATGGAACTAGCACTATAGCCTGAAGATGTTCTCAGCTGCTCCTGGTTCTCCAGCATGGCCACTCCAGCAGGCACACAGGTACTGAGCTGGGCTGGTCCCAGTTTAGGGTCCTTGCAGCAAAACTACTTGTGTCAGCTTGAACTAACTGCTGGAAAGTGTGAAGTGGACTAAATGCAGCAATTTCACCCTCTCCAAAACCATCCTTTTGAAATCAAATATTGCCTTTTTTCCCTTCAAATCCAAGTCCCCTCAGAGAGTCCTCAGTTTTCCATGTCCCATCAAAACCACAAGGTGCCCAGCGACTCATGCATAAAAATTGGTCACAAACTCATGCAGTGTGAGTGTAGTTGCACTTGATGAATGAGGCAAGAGATTTCCAATTTGAAAAGTTATTATTCCATAAGCACAGTTTACCAGGTAGATATGTAAAATTCAGAAATATTTATTCAGATAAGATCTGATATTGAGTTTCATTGCATTTCCATTCTGGCAGGGATTTTTAAGGACCCTACCAGCTACATTCTCCCAGTGATACCACCAAGGCTCCACCTATAATGAAACAAATCTCCACCATTTTAGCAAAAGCACATGTAAATGTGAATTCCACAATAATCCTTGAAAAAGGAATACAGTGTATGCAGTGTTAATAAAGCAATTATCACACAAGTGGCACAGGTTTTTTTTTCTGTGATTTCCTAATTAACATGATTATCAACTGCTTGTTATTAAAGCAGTTTCCTATGCTTTGACTTACAGCATACTGTAAACAAATTTAAGATGCCATTTCCTGCTCCATCGTTTATATCACACTGTTCATTCACACTTGCATTTGTTTTTCCTATCTGTTAGTGCATTTCAGAGAAAATCCTACATTGTGATGGGGAAGAAAAGCAATACTAGAAACAAAGCCATAAAAAGCAGACTGGTGGATTATTTCCAAATAAATCATGTGCCATGGGAATTTTTCCATGAATATGTGAAACTACATATCAGTAACCTGGAAAAACTACCTCCTTGTGCATCAGTGTTTTATTTGTCTGCTCTCCAACAGATGCCACTGAGAGTTTACTAAATAGTGCACTGCTTAATAGATTTAGTAGAGGAAAAAGAACAGTTATTTTCATACTAATTAAATCCTGCACGAACCTAACTGGAGCATTTAGGGGAAAAAGGCTTTGGTCCAGTACAGTGGGGGAGCAGAGCGGGAGAGCAGAATTTCTGCTGTTTCTGAGGTTAACATCAAGCAATTTCCAACACGGCACATTCTTCTGGTTTGCTGTTTCCTGTAAATGCCATCCCGTGGCTAAATTTTTCCAGAACCAGCAATTTAAATATCCAGCTCTTTGAAATGACATCTCTGTGGTGGTGCAGCTGTCAGAGAGTGCTGAAACCCTCAGGTCCCATAAACATCCACTAATGAGATGAAACAAGATCTAAAGTGCTCAAATGTTGATAAGTACAGAATGTAGCTCACGATGTACTCTTCACAAATTAGTGAGGGGTTGCTATGACTCCTTAATGAAATGTTATTATGTTTTAAAACTGAAACCAGACATCTGGGGACGGGGGGAGGAAATGGGAGCGAGTGTTTGAACACCGTTGTCTAGGCTTCCTTTCATCAGCCAGCTGAATTTGCTTACTTGTCCTGAATGAGTGGATCCATTTCTTCAGCTGGTGCAGTGCCTTGCAATAAAGCCGAGCAGTGTGTGCCGAGTTCCGCTCCCTGGGAAGCAGAAACCACTGCTATGGGAGAGGAGCCTTCTGGAGGAAAGGCTATAGGAGCTGCTCTTTCCTGGCTGTAAAAGTCTCCTGTCTCCTTGCAGCATCCAGAGGATTTGACAAATGCAAATGCCAATGTATGCAGCACGTCCTCAAAACAACCCATCAGATCTTCAAAAAAATTAAGCATTAAAGTGGTGAGAATTGCTTGTTTCATGCTAGACTCAAATGGAAAAATATTTATTTTGTAGTTCTTTATATGAGACTATGACAATTTCTTTCCTTACTAACCTTGATATACATGCACAGAAAGACAGAGAGAGACAGAATAATACATGTATCTATATACACATACCTGAACACAAAAGGTATGTATACAAAATTTAAATGACAGACAAGGACAGATCTGGCTCCAGCTACAGATTTCTGACCTCATGGTAAACACTGACTTTTTCAACAGTGCCCAGCACTCACAGAGCTATTTGCCTCCTGAGTCACAGAGCAATCACTGTATTACCAGTCACAATAAGAACTAAATGCTTCATCCCTGGTGCTGGAAGGTGATTCCAAAATCACACATGGAGAGCCATGGGTTAAGCTAGAGCTAGTAGACACCCAGGAACACACTTCCTCCAGCTAATCCTAAAAACATTTCTTTAAATGTGTCCTTTAAAACTTTCTTTTGAGCGGATGAAGTGAGGGAGGACGATGCTGACAGAGATTAAACGAGCTGGCATTCACTCTCCAGCACTCCAGGACACTCAGCCTGCTGCTGGCACTGCATATCAACACTGCACGTGGACAGCCAGCACAGCCCTCACGGGTGGCTCTGGCAACTGATCCTGTCTCCTAACAAACAAGCACACACATGTATATCCATTTAAAATGAGAGTTCACTGTCCTGCTAGTCTTGTCTGCCTTACATGTGGCAGCACATCCCCTCGCCCATGATGGGTCTGTGGCTGGAGATCCTGAATCACTATTGCCTCCCCAGGGTCACTATTTTCCAAACTAAGGGTACTTTTGATATTGGCAATTCTGGTAATAGCTCTTGTGGGGGAAATTTTTAAAAACTAGACTAAAGCCATGCAAGTTCAGATGCCTGACAGCTACTTCTGGCCTTGGCAGACCCACAAATGGCACTGGGGCCCGTGCCACAGCCAACAGCATCAGCCCAGCCTGCAGGGATGAGTTCACACACCTCCTTATCCATCACTCTGGCTGCTGGATCAATTGAACCCATACATCAGAGCAGAGGCCCAACCCGCTTAGTACAGTCAGAGAGATATTTCTTACATTAATTACTGAACACAGAATCATAGAATCATTGAGGTTGGAAAAGCCGTCTAAGATCGAGTCCAACTATTCCTTCAGCACTGCCAAGCCCAGCACTGAACCATGTCCCCAAGTGCCACATCTACACATCTTTTATAGACCTCCAGGGATGGTGACTCTGCCACTCCCCTGGAAACCTCATTCCAGTGCCTGAAAACCTTCCAGAGGAGAAATTTTCCCTAATGTCCAACCTGAGCACAACTTGAGGCAATTCCCTCCTGTCCTAGTGCTTGTTACCTGGGAGAAGAGACTGACCTCACCTCACTACAATCCCCTTTTTGGGAGCTGTAGAGACTGATAAGGTCCCCCTGGGCCTCCTTTTCTCCTGGCTGAGCCCCCTCAGCTCCCTCAGCTGCTGCTGGTGCTCCAGATCCTTCCCCAGCACTGAACCCTATAAACTTGAGCATGACTTTGTCATTTGAATATAAATGTGGAATTGTAAAACACCACTCAACCTACTCAACAGGACCCAGCTCTCAGTGCCTGGGCAGGAGCCCTCACCCCCAACATCAACATTTGCAGGAGGAATAGCACATCAGCATCACAGAGGCTTGAACACAGACCTTCCTGAGGGAAAAGCTCTGTGTGAGCACAAGCACTTCAGTATGTAGACGGAGGAATAAAATCTTGCCACTTAAAATTCATGGTAAAAATAATAGATTGGTTTAAAATCAGCTTTACTCTTTGTTAATTATATTATTTCCTTCCCCTAATTGCTATGTTCACATCATAAAGTGCTATGCATGCATTTTAAATGTTTTAACAGAAGGATAGATAAAATGAAGGAAAATTTATGTATACACACATATATATGTATTTATACATAGCCTAATTACTTTCAAGCCATTCAAATACTAATTTCAACAATCTAGTACTGGAAATCCCAGGTTGGTACTACAGTTCTGTAATCAATACTCCCAAAGTAAGTACTTTACATTTCCACAAGGAAAAAATAAAAATTAAAATATTCAAAGTGATTTAAAGAGAGTGATTCAGATGATACATTAAGTGATTTCTATTTATTACTACCTACTCTTTCTGATTTTTAATACCAACATAGAGGTTTCAGGACAAGATTTCCAAACAATTTGGTCTCCCATTTGGCAAACACTGTGTCTAATGGAGCTTGAAATTAAACCACCTTTTTTTGGTAATTCCCTCTTTGCAAAATCCCAGCAGTGATGAGGGACTCTCCTGTTCATGGGCTGCAGCAGAGGATGCTCAAAAGAAAAGAGCATCTCTCACACAAACAGCTGAACTACTCTGTGAGGCTCCAGTCCATGAATGAGGTCAGTAGGAGCTAACACCCTAAAAATTGATAAAATGTATAGTACACTGTATTTTGATTTTTGCTGTGAGTACAGAAGAGTGGGATTTATGTCTTTGACCGCCTATACTGGGATTAATTCAAGTGATAAACAGGCACTGTAAATGACAAACAGTGGATGTTGTTACCACCTCACTGGGAATCTGACAATATCCCCTTGGAAATCCCTGTCTCACTAGATTAGGAGTGGATGCAACTTAATTAAAGAGACTTCTTCAACTCTTATTGAACATTTCAGTGACTCAAATAAATGCACTCACAGGTCTGTTTAAGTTTGTCTTTTTCTTCTTAAGGGTACTTGATCTTTTCCTGCATTTCAGAATGCATTTGGACAATGTAATCTGCTTTAAGGGATGAGTTATGAAAGCTGTGTTTTGAAATGTCTAGGAAACACCTGACAGCCACAACCTGGACATTTCCTTACCTATATTTAAGTTGGAAGTTTCTCATGCTGAGCCTTTAACACATTAGTCTTCATACAGACTTTTAGTTTCCACCTTCAAAGTAACAGTCACATCTCCATATCTATACCAGCTACAGTTACTCAGGATATTTCAATTTGATTTTTAGTCTGGCAATGGAAAAGTATTTTGCTAGTTTTTCCATTTGTTTACTCTGGGCCATCTGTTAGCTCTTCATGAATACTTCATTCCACTGCTTCCTACACTGCAAATGTCTCCCCTTTTCCAGTGCACCCTGTGTGCCAGTGTTGGAAAGGGGCTGGGTTTTGCCAGAGCCACTCCTCATGAAACAAAATCAG